AAAAAAAAAAAAAAAAAAGAAATCTGCCAATTAACTTTCCAGTAGAGTGACCATTTGACACGACATTTACTGTCCAGTATCATGACAAACATTGTTCCTGCAGCTGTCACAGCAAGAGCTGACAATACTCCGGTCTTCAAGATCAAATCTTGGAGGAGCAAAGGCGTGACGTTGCCAGAGATCTTCGACTTGTACAAAGGAATCGAAGTGGACTTGAACGTCCTTCCATTCTGCAGTCAATTCATCCCCATGGAGGTGATTAATCATCCTCGCCACCGCAGCATATGCTACCATCCGTCAATACTGCCGCGGCACCGTGGAGCTAGCGCTATCAGCTGGTTAGTGGTTTTTCAAGTAATCGTAATAACATGTTATGCAGTCGCTCAAAATAACGAGCGAGAACGTTCGCTGGCACGATTTACTTCTCGTTTATCACTTGAAACGAAAGAGGGGAGCGTAACAAGACACTGACAGCGCAAATCGAAGCGCATACCGGTATCTTGGAACCGGTTCGACTTTCGAGCGTAGCATTATCGCAGCGCATGATACGTGTTTGTACATAATTTTTGTCGCGGAATTAGCGAACGAGCGATAAGTATCGTCAGACAAACGGTGCAATCGTCCTCTGTAATTTCCTTGCAGATAGCTGTTAAGTTTCTTAATTTTTTTTTTTTTTTTTGTATCTTCTTTAGGACCTTGATAGAAGGAGATGACACCGCAGGGTTTTCCATCTTCTGGGCTGACGACGGCCTCGATACAGGGCCGATCTTGCTTCAGAGGTCCTGCAAGGTGGAGCCTAACGATACTCTGGACACTTTATACAACAGCTTCCTGTATCCCGAAGGCATCAAAGCCATGGCAGAGGCTGTGGATCTTGTGGCCAAAGGACTCGCTCCGATGGCTCCACAGACGGAAGTGGGAGCCACTTATGACCCCATGTTGAACAAAAAGCAGCTTCAGAAGATAGATTGGACGAAGCCTGCGAAAAGAGTCCACGATTTCATTCGTGCCTTGGACAGCACTCCAGGTGCTTGGACTACTATTAACGGCGAGGAAGCTCGTCTATTTGGATCTACCTTGTGGAACGGTGATAAGGCGCCCGAGCATGAAATTGAAGTCGCTCTGGAGGACAGAGTGGGTATCGTTCACGGGGGTGGATTGCTGATCAACACCGTTGACAATCAATTTGTCAATGTAGAGAGGATAAAGATCGGTAGTAGAACCATCCTTGCCAGCAAATTTGGCCAGCAGAGTGAAAGTACTGTGCTTGAGTTCACGGACGAAGAGAAGAAGCACATAGAAACGTTGAGGCGTATTTGGGAGGGCATTCTAAAGACAGACGTTGACGAGGACACTGACTTCTTTGCCTGCGGTACGTGAAAGAATATTTCAATCAATATCAAAGAATTAAAACTTTCGTTGTAATAATGAATTGGTCTGATAGATAGTCTGATCTTTCCTCACAGGAGCAGGAAGTATGGACGTTGTAAGGATGGTAGAAGAAGTCAAGGACAACCTCGGAGTGACCTTGCAGAATATCGACGTTTTCATGGCCCCGGTGTTCAACGAGTTTGTCAACACAGTGGTTCTTGCAGTCAGAGGTGTCTCCGCTGCCAAGGAGATCAAGTACGACGCCGTGGAAATGCAAGTGAACAACATGGACCTGAAGTTCCCTAAACAGTTATTCATAAACGGAGAATTCGTGAATGGCAGCGGAATGCCTCTGAACACGGTTAACCCTCACGACGAGAGTGTGATCTGCTCGGTTGAAACTGCCACCGCAGATGACGTGGACAAGGCAGTCAAGGCCGCCAAGAAGGCCTTCGAAGAAGGTGAATGGAGCAAAATCAGCGCCAGGGAGCGTGGAGCTCTCCTTTTCAAGTACATGTCTTCCATTACAAGTTTCCATTATTTGTATTCGTTTTACAATGTATTATGAATTATTTTATGATATCTAACGTTCCTTCAGATTGGCAGATCTAATGGAGGAGCACAAGGAAGAACTGGCTACCATCGAGAGCATAGACTCCGGTGCAGTCTACACGCTGGCTCTAAAGACCCACATAGGAATGTCTATAGAAACCTGGAGGTACTTCGCTGGCTGGTGCGACAAAATCCAAGGTTCCACCATACCGATAAGTCACGCCAGGCCAAATCGTAACTTAACGTTCACTAGGAAAGAACCAATTGGCGTCTGTGGCCTTGTTACTCCTTGGAACTATCCATTGATGATGCTCTCCTGGAAAATGGCAGCCTGCTTGGCAGCGGGCAATACCGTAGTGATGAAGCCAGCTCAAGTTTCGCCCTTGACAGCACTGAAGTTCGCAGAGTTAACTGTAAGAGCTGGTTTCCCACCTGGAGTGGTTAACATCGTGCCAGGAAGCGGTTCTGAGACTGGGAACGCCATTTGCGAGCATCCTCTGATTAGAAAGCTCGGCTTCACCGGGTCCACGCAGATTGGACAATCCATAATGAGATCCTGTGCTAACAGCAACCTGAAGAAAGTGTCCTTGGAACTAGGTGGCAAGAGTCCTTTGGTCATCTTCGAGGATGCTGACCTTCAGCAGGCAGTCAAGATTGGGATGGGCAGCGTATTCTTCAACAAGGGAGAAAATTGCATAGCTGCTGGTATGGTATTCCAAACAATTAACGAAAGGATCGTTAGATTTAATGATTAAAATATACCCCCTTCGTTTTGAAAATAGGTCGGCTATTTGTGGAGGAGACAATTCACGACGAGTTCGTGAGAAGGACAGTCGAGGAGACTAAGAAGATCTCCATAGGAAATCCTCTAGACAGAAGCACGGCCCACGGACCGCAGAACCACAAAGCTCATTTGACCAAGCTTCTAGACTTCGTGAAACATGGAGTGAAGGAGGGAGCTCAACTGATTTATGGTGGGAAGAGATTACACCGTCCAGGCTGGTATTTCGAACCAACGATCTTCACAAACGTCACGGACGACATGTACATAGCCAGGGAGGAATCTTTTGGCCCGATTATGGTCATCTCTAAGTTTAGCTCGAGGAACATGGACGAAATGATCGCCAGAGCTAACAATACAGAATATGGATTGGCTTCGGGTGTCTTGACAAAGGATATCAGCAAGGCATTGAAATTCGCTGAGAAAATAGAAGCTGGAACGGTGTTCATTAATACTTATAACAAGACGGACGTGGCTGCACCTTTTGGTGGCTTCAAGATGTCCGGCTTTGGCAAGGATCTAGGTCAAGAAGCTTTGAACGAGTACTTGAAAACGAAGACCGTCACCATAGAATATTAGGAGATATCACCAGCCTCTCATCCATTTTCATTTTGCACTCTTATCTTTGCACTATTCTTCACGCACTATGGATACTACTACTAGATTTATAAATTTCGTTTTTATTTATATATATTGAATAAATTTATTGAGTATTTTTTATATTTCTGCATGACTTCTGTATTCTTGAACTCCGGAAGATAATCGTTATCTCTTGAGATGTCTCCCAAGAAGTAAAAAAAAAAAAATCTCGCTCCCACGCATGCAAACTACGTAAACAGTTTTTACACAAGCCCCGTTCTAGTCCCTCTTTCGAAACTCCAGATGCTCCGACATGGGTTTTTGTAGAGAAACAATATGCTCCGCTTCTGTGGGTAGTCGACTGTTGCACCATTATTTCTTTCCAACATCTTTTTGTCCCTTTCCCTCCTATGGGTCTATGTTTTCAAAAGGATCATTTTCAAATATTGTTCTGCAACTGTTCTGCAAATGTATTGTAGAATATTTCTTAAGATTGATCCTAAGCTGCTTCAGCCTATTTCACTCATACAACAAAGTATTGCAAAAGGAAATTATGCAAGTTACACAGATTATTATAAAAGTTGATATATAAATCTTTCGTTGTAACAATTATGAAACATTGTCCATGATTTATTAAAAACTAAGTTAACAAAATAGATCAAAAGATCAAAGGAGAATATTTTTATTATAATTATTATCGTTTAAAAATCCCTTCAGACATTAATCTTCTATTTTAAGTGATAATTCTGTAGATACATAAAAAAGAAAAAAACCAAATGGAGCATATAAAAAGAACGTTAACTAGAAAATAAAGTAAGAGAAACTTTCCAAATGTTAATGGTCACGTGTTGTTTCTATGTACCTGAATCCAGTAAAATTATTACAAAAACTACTATACGAAAGGAACAGCCTGTTCCCCATAAACACATCTCTCTCTTCCTCTTTCTTTGTTGCTTTTCTATCCCAGACAATAGCAGCTCTATTTTATGACGGGGTATCTTGGCTTCCAAAAATTAGTTTCATATCCCTAGAAGGAAAAGTAAGTAAGAACACGAGACGAATAAAATGAATAATAGGAATGGAAACTGGTGAGATTCTTTCTGACGTTCGGTCACGAACACGGCTTTTCCTCATGGCTCTCCTCGAAACGAATATTCGTTGAAATTTTTTCAAAGATTATCGAATTAGTTCGACGACCAGGCGACTACGGCATTCTCCGTGCGGCATTATTCATCGTGAACAGGAAATGCAAATTTTCCTCTGGCCCGGCTGTGCCCCCTCGCCCCTTAGGACACTGCTCTCTGACCCTTTCCCAGTCCCCGTTGCTTCCACTCTCTTCCATATACTTCTGTTTATCTTGTTTTCCCATCGTGAGCTCTTCTTTCCCTCTTTTAGGCAGATTCCAGACGACGAACTTCCGACGGGGGCCTTGCGATCAACGCTCTAAACGCTCTAAACGATAGACTATTTCCACGCATTAGGAAATGAAATCGAAATTCCGCAGATTTTACATTCGCCTCGACTGCGAAACTGTCGCATAAATTTCCCCGAAACACGTCGAGGGAAAATGTTCTTAATGTTTCTAGAAAGCAGAGCACAGCTGTTAATTTCTGTAACAACGACCGCGAGGAGCGTGAAGGAAGACCAGCCGATGCGCCCCGATAAAGGGGAACTGCAGCTCGTAGAGGTCGCGTTTCCACTAAAATTAACGCGGCCAAAATTCAATTCGCGATCCGCTTAACAATTCCATTGGCCGGCTAACGCATCCCGTATATCCATAGTGAGCCCGCGGGTCCCCTCTTCACTCGGAGGACCGCACCACGTGTTTCTTTCTCTCGGGATCCTCCCTTCTCCGCAGCTGTTCCGTAAATCAAGTTCAGTGTTCAGTTGCCCTCGAGACACCGTGCTGTGGATGACAGTGGACACGTACAGTGTCCACTGTCATCCACAATTTCGCACGTTATCTGACTCGACAGTACCGATTCCAGATCGTTTTAATAATAGTGCAGTGCAGTGTCGAAGTAATCCACCACTTATCTTCAGTTTTATATGCATCTCGGTTCTACTCCGTCTCGATCGTTTGATTGTTCTTTATCTGAGGAAAGAAACGGTCTTTGTACGACGAGTTTAGAAGTAGCAAGTTAACACGATAGTGTTCAGAGGCTATTTGTAATCTTCATTGTTCCCCGTTTCTCTTCAGTTTGGTGTTCAATACGTGTAAATTTCATTCCCTCGAATATGTCTGTTTGATATTTAAATTACACATTACTGTTCTTTAACTATCAGACGGTTTTTAAATGAATCGTAGGATGATCTGACAATCTGGAAATACATATATTGTAAGCTGAAACTTCTCAAACGCACGAGTAACGTTAAGCTTTCCTCTTCAGTTTCACGCTACTTGAAATTGAATGGTAATAATTTGATAGATGTGATTAAAATAGAAATTCAAAGGCTTCCAATGAAGTTATTGTTTGAAGTGGTGTCCGGATGTCACACAGCTGTTGTATATGGTAATTATAACGTGAATCTAAATGGATTTCCCAGACAGGTCAAGGCTTGGCTTAACTAGCCACGCCACTCCAAACGTTCCTCTTAACGTGCCTTAATTTTAAACACAGTTTAGAAAGCAAAACTTACGGACGGTCGTTTATAGCAGTGAAAATTAGATATTTAGGAAGTGATACATACGCGAGCTCACGCGTATAGGGTGATGTATCGATGCTAGCTTGTTGATTCACTCGAGAAAAATCAACTACACAGCGTGGCGTGCATGAGTCATCCTGGGTCACAACAATAATGCTAACTTGGAGAGATTCTCGTTCCGCTCTGCCAGGGAATCTTCAAGGCGTTCCCGACTGGAGGAGCTTCAAACGTTAGGTCAAATTTTATTCTTTTCCAAATCTTTTTTTTTTTTTTTCTGAATTCCTGTTTTAATTTCAGCTTTCCTTTGAAATTCTTGAGTGTGTTGCTCGTCTTAATAATTATCAGCTACCTTTCTGGATCTAACTGATTGTCTTCATCCTCAATCACATCTGTCGTTCAAATTAATCATAAAATGACATTAAAATTAGAAAGCATCAAAAGTTCCTCTATTCTGATCTTCAATTATAAATCTCCAAAATGCAAAGGTGCGTATCGTACTTTTAATTCCTAGAATTTAACAGGCAGATTCGATGGTATAATAGTAAAAAGAGAATTAAGCCGTTCGAAAGTTTTGTTTTTAAGGGAGAGACCTTGCTTTTTGGTTCGATTGGAATAATAGTTTTTGAATGATGACGTGGATTCTTGGATCCTTCCCTGCCAGTTCTTTCCAATCCTATTTATTGGGTCAGTTGGCGCAGTTTTTCCATGCATTGCGATTCAATCATTTCTAAAGCACTCGAGCCAGCTGAGACTGTTATCGCTGTACTAGAAAAAACATTCCAGGTGGTCCTGTAGAAGCGGATCGACTGAATGCATTTCAAAGGCCCCCACGTGGTCCCCCCATGGTTGCGCAATCGTTCGCCCTATGAGCAGAGAAGCCGATGATGCTGAAAATTACACGCCACGTTGTTTAGCTACTGAGAAAGAAAAGACTTCTTTGTCGTCGATCTCTTGTTTTTCACATCTTTTTTAGTTGCTGTTAAAATTAGTCCTCGACCACACCTTCTCACATCTTTATAAGCATTTCTTATTGATGGCTTAAAGCTTGTGAAAATCCCTCATTGATAATTCAAACAGCCACAACGACTTTGCAGAAGAGTCAAGACATTCCTTCAGACCAATTCCTTTCATATTTTTTTCTTCTTCAAAAATTATCCAAGAAACAATTTCAGAATCTTATCTCTGGTGTGAATACACGCTATGTATCAAAGTTGAAAACAGATAGAAGAACGAACGCGATAATATGCGTAACACTGTGAAATTTGACGACAGGCTCGTCCTCACCATGCGTGAAGCAGATGTTCGTTTTTACTTGATACCAGCCAGCGTTTCGAGCTGGGGAGTGTTGCCGGCCTTTCCGCGGGCGTCGCACAGGGAAAAAGGGGCAAGCAGAGTAACGAAGGGGAGGGAAAACGACGAGGGTGACGGTGTCTAGCGAACTAGAAAAATTCTCTACATTCGTGTCAAGAAGGAGACCACTAGCTCTGACTACTGGCTGATCCTTAAACATCAAAGCGGCGTTTACCAAGCCGGCCTTTGCTTTTCAATTTGATCAAAACTTTGTGCACGTCGACCCAAAACGAGGAACAACATCCTACGGTGGAAAAAAAAAAAAAAAAAGGAGAAAATCTTCGATTTGTTTTTGAAATGTATAGATCAGCAAGATTGCCGAGGAAATCCGAATGGAATTGGATCGTTTGTTTCCTAGATGGTTTGCAAGCTTCGAGCCATTGATACATACTAGGTTCCTTAATGGTTTCTGCAACGTGTTTTGAGCAAATCAAAGGTATGGAAATCATTTGTCTCCATTGACAACAATAGGATTATTGAAAGAGAAAAAAAAAAAAAAAAAAGAAAGAAAAGAATTGATTTACCCTTGCTGATACTGTTTTGAGAGTATTCATTTAATATTTATTTTGAACTATTTAGATTCAGGTTTAAACCAGAGAGAGTTTCATCTAAAGTTTATGCAATTCTTTTTCATGGGCTTAACATACACGTCAAAACTTCCAAATATAATTTCATCTTATATCTGTTATGATAAGGTGTATCGTACTCGTACGAAGAACTGCAGAAAATTGTACATTTCATTTATTTTCAGCCTGGAGTTTTTCAGAGTGGAAAAGGAAATGCCCAAGGTTTCCATGTCTTTTGTTGTGCTTAGCTATGAATCTATCAAAGGTGATATCTCGTGCAGCTATCCGCCCCTTCCTGTTTCCTCTTTGCAACTAGCTGGGCTAATCTTTAAACCACAGCATCCTGTGGGTGTACAAATGTGAAGCAGTTATAAAGTTTCTGCCCGAGTGACAAAAATACTCAGTCAAAAGACACTCGCCCTGGAGTGTACACATCCGAAGTGGACCGAGCTCTGGCCCTTTACTTTTACATCTTTATATTCCAACATGGAAATCTCAATGTTATTATATTGTGTGTACGATGTGACACGTGAAAGTTACATGACGTTACGTGTAAGTGTTCAAGTCTGAATCTGGAAGTCAAACTGGGTGACAATTAAGCATCGAGTAACGGGAGTAATTTGCATTTGCTTCTTGCAGTATTGTCACAGGGAGTGTTTCTGGAAAATGTTAGTGGAAATAATCTCGATACTGGCTACGTTGCGGCTCGTCATCGGGCACTTTGCTGCTTTTTCAAATGCAAGCTGCCTTTTGAAGGGCAACACCGTACTCAGTGAATCACATTCAAGTGAACATTTTTTTTTTTCTTTTTTCTTTTTTTCTTCATTCACGTCGTTAGCAATCACTGAACCTTCTTTCCTTTCCTTTTCTTT